GATATGACCAAAACTCAGAAGCCCTTAAGGAAAAGATTAACAAATCTGACTACATCAAATTATAAGCTTCTGAATGGGAAAAACGTGACCATGAACAAAGACAAAAGAAAAGAAAGGCAACGATTGGAGGAACTATTTACAATACATTTACAAAGACATTATTCTCTTACTACACAAAGAGCTCACAGAAAGAAGAGTTACCCAAAAGAAAAATGAGCAGTTTATAGGGAAAAAATACAAATGACATATAAAATTGCATACGAAAGGATGCTTTACCTAAAGTAATAAAAGACAAATCAACATATCATTTCCTACCTTTCAGATAGGCCAAAGTTAAAAATTTCATGGTATGGAGAGAAGACACAAACACATTGTTGGCAGAAGCATAAGTTGTGCATTCTTTCTGAACTTGCTAAAAATAGTGATCAAAATTGTAAATTCACATACCCCACTGCTAGAAACTTACCCTATAAAGACTCCCAAGAGTTCACTAAGACACCATGGACAAAGACGCTTACTGCAGCACTGACAGCATCAGCAAAACAGAAACAGTATGATATCCTTGAGCAGGGTACTGTTTAAATAAATTACAGTACATTCATAAAGTGGGATATTATGTAGTCTGGGAACAAAGGGAGGAAGATGGGAGGAGTGATGGGGGCGGCACACCTTTCAATTTATATCTATGGGTACTCTTGGAATTCATCCATAATTTTATTTGTTTAATGCTTTCTAGGTGGCAGATTTATGGGCCATTTTACGTTAATAGTTTTTTTAGATTAATTTAAACAGTCCAGTCTACAGGTCTGAATTTTGGAAAAGGAGTAAGCTAAAAGATATAGTGCTCTAAATTTGGCAATAATTATCAAAATTTTAATGCATGTATCCATCAATTCTACTGCTGAGGATTCACTTCATCATAAACTTACTCAAAGACAACGATGCTTACCCCAGCACTGCTGTTAATAGCAAAAATTAGAAAAACATCTAGAAGTACATAAGCAGAAGACCAATAACAAATTAATGCTGCATCCATAAGATCCAATTCTCTATAGCTGCCTTAGTGAGGCAGACCTTTATGTGCAATATAGAAAAGTGACCAAAATAGACTAAATCAGTGAAAAAAAGCAAAGTACAGCATGATCTCAATTTGTATAAATTTTGAAAAGACATGCATGTATAACTCCTGGAAAGAAACAAGAATGTATTAACAGCAGGTACCATTAGTGAGGGGACTTGGAGAAGGAACCCTCTTTTCATTTTACACCTTTCTGTACTTCTGAATTTGCAATTGTTACTTTTATCAAATATTTTTTTAAAAACCCTAATGATGTGACACTCTGAACTCTTTAGAACAAGACTACATTCATTACTTCAGTTTTGCTTCCTTATTCATCCCTTGGGCAAGGAATAAACAAATAATTAAGGGACCACTGGGGAAGTTATGAGAGGAGACCCAGGTGCACCATCCTGGCTGACAGGACGTGGTCCTGGTGCTCACCTCCTTCTGCCAGGCCTGCCAGGATGGCATCCCAACTGGCTCCCCACCTATCAACTTCATTAGCTCCCATCCCTCAAAAGACAAGTTCTGCTGCTAAAGCGGGCGTGCCACTCTCTGGTTCCTGGCTCTTCCCTCCTCTCCAGCTCCCCCTTCCTACCTTGGAGGTATATTGAGTGCCACCATGCTAAGACTGACCCCTGTGAGTCAATGCTATTTCTTGGCCTCATGTCCTTATCCATGTTCTTCCTACACAACTCCTGCTTCCTCCTCCCTTTCCTAGAAGACTCACTGTTGGCATCACCCTCACCAAGCCATGTGACTCCTCCAGGCTCCACGAGGTCTTCTCTCCCAATTCAAAGACACACCTACACTGAAAGTTTTCAGATGGGATCTTAGCCTTTTCTTTTTCTTCGTGGTTACGGCATCACTCCCTCCTCCATGCATACTGTTTCCTCCAAGTGGCTTTTTCTGCTTTTCTGACTTGCCCTATCTTTTTTCACTAGGGATTTCCTTCTCATGCTTAGTGGCCTTGGCTGTGTACTCATATATTTGAAAGTAAAACACCAAAAGTCTTAGTGGAAGCTCTTAGTACAAGTGACACTTTTTTTACTGTCTCAGAATGTATAGACTAGACTCTTTCTTTCTTTTTTCTTTTCCAATGTCTTTTCTCTTAACTGGTCAGTGAAGCCAGAGTCTAATGCAAGAATAAAGGCTTTACAGTCATCTGAAGAGAAAAATGGCGGGAGAGCATCAGGTCATCCCATAGCAAGTAAATCTAGTTTGCCTAAACTCAAAAGTTAGACCATTAACAGTCAAGACTTTCAGGTTGTGTGTAGCAATTCTACCCCTACTATCTTTGGCTTCCGGTCTAGATGCCAAGTGGGGGAAGAAGGTTTGGGTGTTGTCTCACTATTTAATTTGTGGACTTTCTCTTAACCCCTATTTTCAGTATGGCTTCCCCCTACCTACCAGTGCACTATGCCTGGTGTCTCCCAGTTCAAATACTCTATGGCTTATTCCTTCCTAAGAATAAATCTTGGGAAAGAGTAACCTTTTAATTGTCTGCCAAGATGGAAGAAAGGTAGTCTCCTGGCTGCTTGGTTGAGGGTAGGGGGGACAGAGGAGGTGGGATGGGACTATGGGGACTTGCTTCTTAAACAGATTTCTAAGTAACCCTTCTGTTATTAGTCCCACCTTCACCGCTGTTTCCAGAGGTTCCTGGCACTGGAGTTCTTGAGATCTGGGGGCATTAAATGGCTAAAGCCACCTACTTTCGAGTTGTAGGTGAGTTAGGTCTTGCCATCCACTTTGTGGCAATCATTTCTTGTCCTATTCTTTTTTATTTTTATGCTTTAAAAAATCTCTTCACCATCCTTTTAAAGGAAACAGAAACAAGCACGTATAAGCAACCCACCAACTTTCATGGTACACTCTTAAATACACCTCCCAATAATCCTATGACTTAAGTATTACTGTTCGCATTTCATAAGAGAAAAAGAGAAGCTAAGTTACTTGCCAAGGTCACCCAGTCAGTACATTATAGAGCTGTAATCTGAACCCAGCTTTTGAGGTCCACTTATTTGTTCTTTTTGAGACAAGGTCTCATTCTGTCATCAAGGCTGGAGTGCAGTGGCATGATCATAGCTCACTGCATCCTCAAACTCCTGGGCTCAAGTGATTCTCCCACTTCAGCATCCCAAATAGCTGGCACTACAGGCCATGCCACAATGCTCAGCTCATTTTAAAATTTTTTTCTTGTAGAAACAGGGTCTTGCTATGTTGTACAGGCTGGTTTGAACTCCTAGCCTCAGACGATCCTCTTGCCTTGGCCTCCCAAAGCACCAGGATTATAGCATCCAGCCTTGAGGCCAACTCCTGACATATTAGAGACAAGATTATGGCCTGGAAAGGTTAAGGATTTACCAAGAGTTTAAGGCAAGCAAGTGTCACAACACAGATATGAAACCAGGACTGTCTAACTGCAAAGTCTTTCACTCTAGTATATCTTACCACCCTCTTTAAGGCCTGCCCAACCCAACTGCTCTACCAGAGCTCAAGAATATACTCTTGGGGGTCCAAGAACTGTCTTGGTGAACGTGTACATTTTATGCTTTCATTTTTCCATATTTTTTCTTAAAAACAGTGTATTGAGGTTAAACTGAATAATCTCTTTATAATCCAGCACTGTCCTGAGATTATAGGGTCTGTATGTGCATTTGTTTGCCATCATCATCACAGGCTACCAAAAACAGAACAGAATCTGCCTTACCCTATAAACAGTATTTTCAAAGCCAAATGAAGCCAGAGCCTAATGTGAGAACAAAGGCTTTTCAGCCATTTGAAGAGAAAAATGGTGGGAGAGCATCAGGTCATCCCACAGCAAGTAAATCGTTTCCCTAAACTCAAAAGCTGGACCATTAACAGTCAAGACCTTCACACTGTGTGTACCAATTCTATTTCGCAAAACATGAAAGAGCATATTAATGTTCACCTGAAAGTTTCTGGAAAGGTAATTTTCTTTTAATTTACTTTGTTTGTTTGTTTTGGTTTGTGTTTTTTTTTTTGAGGTGAAGTCCCTGTTGCCCAGGCTAGAGTGCAGTGGCACACTCATGGCCACCCCAGCGTCTACCTGCTGGGCATGGGCGATCCTTCTGCCTCAGCCTTCCAAGTAGCTGGATGTTTTGGTTTTTAATGGTTGAATAAGAGTTGCAAACCTAGAGGTTTACACCTAGTATCATGTGGATATATATGGAAGTAACATAACAATAAAATAATTCAGGCAAACACGAGGACCAGGGAGACTTTTGATTTTTTGTTTTTTCCTTTACAGGGTCAGTTTGAAAACTCAGGCTAACCTGAATGTTGGCCAAAAGGATGACAACTACTTTCTCCGATACTATGTCAGAACAAAGTTAGCACATGGGGATCTAATCATTTGGGCAACTTCTGTGTTTTTGTTTCCCATTATTGTCCTTTCTCTCTCAACAGTTCTGCATTGTGGGTTTTTCTCGATCTTGTCTTTTTTTGTCTTCTAATTGGTGAGCCCTTTAAGGGTGAGAAGTTGGTCCTTTTTACCGCGTATATCCCCATAGCACTTAACAGTGTGCCACATAGGGAAGATGATGCATATCTGCTGAGAAAAGGAACCAAAGTGAGTATTACCTATATTCAAGGTGAGAAAATTGAGGCTCAGAGAAATTTTATTTGCTCAAGATCGCTGGGATAGATGCTTGAGCAGCTGGACAACAGAGGCTGCGCATTTAGCCTATAAACTGGCTTCGTTCTTAAGAATATCGCAACTCTCAGGGCTCAAGTCGTTTGCGGAACTCATGGAATGACTCTGTGGTCTTGGGAAATGTTTCTTCCCGCTCTGGGTCTCAGTTTACCCATCTGTGACATGGGGGCGTGCCGCGGAGTGCCTAGGCCTCTTGCAGCTCTGAAACAGACGAGGCGAGAAGCGAGAGGGAGTGAAGTGCCTGGTCTTCTCCTAGGCCCTTACCATTTGATGATGTTGTGAACCAAAGGTAAAAAGGAGTAGTTCTCCTCCTCCCTCACGCGGGCGGGCGACTGGGGCCGCGGCGCCGGCGACTGCTGCGGTTGAGGCGCAGCGACCGGCGGCGGCGGCTGAGGAGGCGGCAGCGGTTTGGTCTCGGGCAGTTGCGGCTCTGACGAAGGTGGTAACGCATCCTCGGCCTGTCGCCCGGCGGTCACCGCGGAGGAGGCCATGGGGCCAGGGACTAGTTAGCGAGTCTATCAACGCACTCGAGAAATCTGCCCGCCGAAAGCGTCGCGGGCTCCATACGTCACCACTGCGCGCCCCGCGTGGATGAAGGTTCTGAGCGTGCGCACTGGGCTTGGGGCCGGGCAAAGGGCGAAGGCGGGGTGGGGCAAAGGGCGGAGGGCGGGGCGTGCTGTTGCTAGGCAACAGGCTGTGGGCGGGTCTGGGGTGGCCTGGATTTCGTTGTGGGTCAAGATTGCTAAATTATTAAATAGTAAGAAATAGATTTATTTCAGAAATAATAATCATCATATTCTTATTCACATGACTAAGAGGGCCCCAAAGCAACGAACGTGGGAAGACTTGAGATGAACAAGGCGCAGCATCCCCCAAAGTCTGGCGAAGAACCCGTGGGAACTTGCCTGCATGTGGAAGGCCTGGGCGCCGCGGGACCTGCAGCTCCACTTTCACATCCTCCAGGTCGAGAGGCAGCAAAACCCCCACCGAATAGCGCGAGACCTCGTGCCAAGCCCTAAGGACCCAGAGGCAGAGATTGCGGTCCTTCCAAGTTCCTCATGGCTGCAGAGAGAAAAGCTAATAATTTAACTCAACACTTGGTATGCGCCTGCTGGATGGCAGGGGCTGGGCTAAGTGAGTGAGTGAATGAGAGAGAGAAAGAGAGAGAGAGAGAGAGAGAGAGAGAGAGAGAGAGAGAGAAGGTTGTCTGTCCTCACTTTCTTTTTCTTCTTGAGTTGGAGTCTCACACTGTCCGTCGCCCAGGTTGGAGTGCAGTGGCACACAGGTTCACGGCCACCCCAGCGTCGACCAGCTGGGCTCCCGCGATCCTTCCACCTCAACCTTCCAAGTAGTTGGAACTACAGACGCGCGCAACCACGCCCGGCTATTTTTTATTTTATTGTAGAGACAAGGTCTTGCCAATTTGTCCAGGCTGGTCTCGAACCCAGAGGCTCAGGCAATCCTCTCGCCTAGGACTCCCAAAGTGCTGGGATTACAGGCTGAGCCACCGAGTCCCACCAGCTGTCTTCACTTTCAATACAAAGTAGAGGGGATTCATTCCAGGAATAAATATCATATCCTAGAAGACGAAGCCCAGGTACTTTTCATACCTTTGGGCCAGTGCCTTAAGCCCCCAGGTCCCAGTTTCCTCACCTCTTAAGTTGTACTTAGGTCAGGGCTAGCTAAACACACATGACTGATTCCCAAAGTTCTCATTGTCATATGGCCCCCTAGGATCCTAGGTCAAAGAGGGGGGACTTCTGATGGACTCACGGTTACGCTTCTCAAAACAAGTATGATATGGGGACTGTGTACTAAGTTTCAGGGCAATGGGAACACCCATCCTAAGCTTAGCTAGTGAGTAGAAAACATGAACTAGAAAAACTGTCAACTGGTAGAGCCCATCCTTCCTTAGTCCACCATCATGGGCAGTAAAGAGAGACAAGGAAGTCCACATTCAAGTAGCAAGATGAACTTGAGCACTTAAAGGCAAGGTGACTGATCCCAAGGAAAGTATCAATGCCGACATTTTCAGGTGCAATGGAAGGGGCATGTAGAGGCAGATCCTCGGGGAGCAAAACCATCAAGGGCAGTGGGTGTTGAGAATCTGCCATGGAAGCGCTTTGGCAACAGGCCTCAGCATAGCTCTCTTCAGCAAGAGCTGCCCAGGGTGCCCCAGAGACAGAACAAGGGAGGGGAGGGGGCTGCAGGATTTTCTTCCTTTTACCCATAGACCTCTCCACCCAAGGGAAGAGTTCAAGAGTCCTGGTCGAGAAGGGGAGAGAAAAAAGCTTGTTGGAGTAGGACCAGACATGCTTGAAGAGACTACTCACGCCTGGAGTCATCTGGGGAAAGAATGATTATAATAGCAATAATAATAGTAATTACTACACTACCATGGAACAAAAGTGTACAAGGAACAGAGTTACAGTCACTATCTCATTTAATCCACATGAAAGCTCTAGAAGGTGGTTGTTAGGATTCCCATTTTCTGGATGGGGAAACCAAGCCTTACAATGGTTAAGCTACTGGTCCCAGGATCACACATTTTGCCTGACACCAAGCCTATGGTCTTTTTTTTTTTTTTTTTTTTGAGTTGAGTTGGAGGCTTACTCTGTCACCCAGGCTGGAGTGCAGTGGCACACTCATGGCCACCCCAGTGTTGCCTACTGAGCTTCAGCGATCCTTCCACTTCAGCCTTCCAAATAGCCGGAACTACAGGCGCATACCACCACACCCGGCCAATTTTGAATTTATTGTAGAGATGAGATCTCACAAGGTTGCCCAGGCTGGTCTCGAACCTGTGGGCTCAGGGAATCCACTCACCTCGGCCTCACAAAGTGCTGGGATTACTGGCTGAGCCACCGAGCCCGGCCAACCCCCTATGGTCTTAACTGACACTAAGGACACCTGAGGTTCCTAAGAGGTTTGTAACTTTATGATTCAAATGTTAAAGTGGATATTTATTCAGGATTTGAAAAGCAATCCAATATTCATCAATAACATCCCCATGGCAATTGCACGTCATCTTTTCCCTCCCAGTGTGTTTTATAACTTCATTATAAGCCCCAACTTTATCGCTGGCAGAATAATGAGGACATCTCTTTAAAAACACTTCAGGTATAAATAGATATGGCTAAAGAAAACAAATTGGAAACATAGGAAGCATGAACAAATATGGTGCATTGACAATTTGCCCTAAAAATAGTTAATGTAATTAGTGGCAAAGAGTAAAGCTGACTTCATCATGTTGCGAGCGGATATCAGAAAAATACTGCCTGTGCCTGTTTCATTAAAGCTGAAATTGCCACAACAAATGTATGTCTGTTGATAACCACAACTCTGTTAAAAGTATAAAAAAGAAAGAAAGAAAAAGGCAGCGTCTCCCTTGATGTGTAAGGAGAATGTACTGTGGTGAAAGGGAGACTTTACCTAGCTAAGTTATATGGTCATGGCTTTCTTAGGTGGATTTACACTAATCGTCATAGGGCCCTGTCCAGTCGAGTTAGTGGTTAAAAGTCCGGCCTTGGAGCTGGCTTGCCTGACTTCAATCCCAGCTCTGAAGTGACTTTGGACAATTGCTTAACCTCACTTTGTGCAGCCATGCAACCCCACGGGAGGACTGAATGGGCTACTATTTGTAAAGCACTTAGAATAAACATCTGTACACAGTAAACATTCATTCTTATTATTATTCATATTCAGGGCTTCCTTCTTCACCAGTAAACAAAACCCAAACTGACAGCAGTTGAGAGGAATGAGCCACATCAGTGCCTCCAAAAAAAATATACATGTAGGTCACACATGGTATTTTCAGTTTTCTAGTAGTCATATTACAAAATAAGAAAAAAAATAATGAGGCTAATTGTAATATATTTTATTTAACTCCATATATCCAAAATATTGTAATTTCAACATGTAATCAATATTGAAATTATTAATGAGGTATTTTACTGTTTTGTTTTTTTTCATTCAGGGTCTCACTCTGTTGCCCAGGCTGGAGTACAGTGGCACCATCATGGCTCACCACAGCCTCAACCTCCTGGGCTCAGGTGACCCTTCTGCCTCAGCCTCCCAAGTAGCTGGGACTACAGGTGCATGCCACCATGCTTGGTTACTTTTTAATTTTTTTTGTAGAGATGAGGTCTTTCTATGTTGCCTTGGTTGGTTTTACTGGTTTTCATACTGCCTTTAAAATCCAGTTGTGTTTACACTTATAGTACATTTCAACTCAAATTAGTCACATTTCAAGTGCTCAGTAACCAACTGTGGCCAGTGGCTACAGCACTGGATGATATGGAGATCGAGACATATCAGCACAGGCGGAGCTCAGAATCATAACTGTGGACGTGGAGAAAAAAGCAAGTTTCACAAAGGATATAGAGTACAGTACTACGTATGTAAATGTTGAAGCATAACATCTTACACTGTAGATTGTCCGTAGATACAAGACACACATGCAAACGTATTCGAAAAAGCAACTGGCGGACACACCTTATATCCAAGGGACAGGGGATGAAACAGGAAGTGGGAATACAGCAGGCACTGCAAATTTCTGTGTAGTGCTTTTTTCTTTCATGGATTATAAATGAACTCCAAGCAAGTAGGAAAAATATGAACAATTACCAAATATGGAGGTGGGTACATAGGGGTTTGGTACATAGAATCTAGGCTGTGCTTCTCTCCAGCTATGTGACCTCAGACAAGTTATTTAAGCTCCCCGTGCCTCGGTTTCTTCAACTGCAAAATGAAATCACAGGACTGCTGTAAGTGTTACAGGAGTCAATGTATGTCAGGGGCTCGGAACAGTGCCTGGCATGTAGAAAGCACTATTTAAGCTCTAGTGTTACTAGTGCTACTTTTAAAGATTTTTTTTCCTAAAAAAAATACCCACCTAATGATTTCTTATGAAGCAAACTGCTACTGCAAGAACACATACAAAAACCTAAGTGCATCCTGAATTGATGCTCAAAGTAGACCTGCGCCACAAATACCTATGAATATTCTTGTGATATATTTCTGCTACGTGAAGTCCAAAAATAGCCATGTTTCCGTCAGACAAACATCATGGGTCTTGCTAAACTGATCATGTATTTGTGTGATTGGGGGCTTTTTCATCAAAGCTATATTCTTACTCATGATTCATCCTTTTCATAACCCAGAGCCCCAGGCAGGTGGAAAAAGCTGCACGATACTTTGATTTTTGTGAGTGAAAAAAAAAAAGGCAGCAATCATTGTTCAGGCCAAATGCAGTGCAATATACACTGGGAATCAGCTCACTCAAGTCACGATTCAATGCATAAACCTCAGACAAAAGCCCTTTGCGTGGTTTCACCCTGCGGACTGTCTTTCTTCTCCATTTGATTTTTTTTTTTTTTTTTATTCCTTTCAACCATCCTCTCCTTACGCCAAGATACTCCATTATGCCCGATTTCTCATCTCATTTTTGTGAGTGGTTTCATTTCTCAGAAGCGCTTGTTTTGGGGCATTTCAGTATACAAATCCGACTCTG